TCATATCCACCTTACTTTTGGGCCATTCTGACCCTGGCTGAGGAGTAAGGAAGCCTGAGAAGTTGCAGCCCAGGGACACACTGACTGGTCTGCCCTGTGCCAGCTTCTAAGGACAAAGGCACTTTCTTTCTCTGGTGGACAAGGATTAGTAGACTCACCTCCAAGCAGAGGAGCCGGGCCCTCTATGCCACAGCCGTGAGAGGCACCTTGAGGCCTCTACAACTCCGGGGTGGCTCTGAGAGTTAGCTTCTTAATCAAGCCACTGAGTAACCTCGTCCCGTATATCCTGCTAATTTAAAGCCTGGCACCTAAGCAAAGGCTCATGAGGGGAAACTGCTCTGCCTCGCTATGGAAACAGCAATTCCGCCAACACAGAGGGGCATGGTCCATCTCGGGCTCCTCGGGGTTGACCGTGGGCCTCTAAATTGGCATCCTTTCAGTCTTCCAGGACTCAAGCAGGCCCAGCAAAGGTTTGCAATGATAAGGGTTAGGGCAGCAAAGTGTGCAGGCACGCGGGAACTTCTGTGTGAACTTCTAGCAGGAGATAGATCATCCCCGAGTCCTACCGGAAATGATTCATACACTCCTCTGGAATTTCCCCCTTCGCAGAGCCTTTGCTGACCTACTGGTCTGAGGCTTCTGCATGCAGAACATATTATGTAGCAGGGCAGCCTGGCAGTCCAGACAGCAGACCTTCAGATATTAGCTCTGTCTCACTCCGAATAGCACGTTTCTATCCTCGACCATCTGCTCTAGGTCACCAAGCAGGGGGTCAGGAAGCACAAGGACCCGACCTGCTTCGAGCATTGCTGTGTCTGACCCTCCAGCCCTTTGAAATCTAAGCAGGAGGACAGAATCAACTCTTCAAGGATGGGCCATACGAACCCAAATCACTGAATACTCTGCAAGGGCAGGTTAGGGGCTGTGTTTGTTACTTGCTCAAAGGATGCATTCACTTCCAAATGCTGACCTTGTTCCCGGCCACTGGTATGTGCATGACAGAGCAGCCCTGCCCCACTATCTCAGTTTTGGAGGGGGTCTTCTCTGAAAGTCACACTCGGGAAGGTTCTCACTTTCTGGCCTTTTGCAGGGATTCCCCCACTGGAGAGGTTTTTCCAGAGATGAACTCTCACACTGCTCCTTCTCCACAGTGACATCTAGCCTGGTGGTTCTCTGGAGCCTTTTCTCTACGCTGGTGAGCCATGGTCTTTTGGAGGAACCTGAGGACAACTTGGTGGACGGTGAAGAAGGAGGTGCCTACCTTGCTGGCTGGAGTTTCCCTTCTCTAAAATGTGTTTTCGAGACAGAGCTAAGATTCTTCTTTTACTGAGTGGAGACTGTTACGGAAAATCTGTTTTATTTTGCCACATAACTGTGAAACAACAAGGACTCAGCCATTAGCGAATATGACAACTTGGCAAACGCCACCAAATGAACCAATCCAGGTCATGCAGCACACGGCGAGTGTGGGCAAACTGGATCACTTTGGCTCTTCCAAGAAATGGGTCCCAAAGGCTGGAGAAAAGACAAGAAGTTCACACGCCGAAGGAGAGAGCAAAGGGAGAGTAAAGAAACTTTTCTTCCCTTTGAGTGACCGCTCCACTCCTATAGCTGCTGTTCTGGACCATCTGAATCCAAGAACCTCCTGCTGTGAGGCTGACCAGCTCCGTCTCCCCCAGGGCCCCCGTGGATGGGAGTGCTCCCCAATTCTTCAAAATCCCTCTGGGGACACCTTCCACCTGCTGTGCCTCCCCCGCAGCTCGAGTCCAGTCCACAGCCCGCCGAGCACTGTGAGCACCCACGGCAGCACGGGCAGCAGATGTGCCTCCGACCTCTAGGCACACAGGGAAGGCTGAGGCTGGAGACGGCTGCAGTGGTCCTGTTCTCCAGTCTGCTGGCTGTGCACTGCCGGGGAGCGGTGGCTCTTCTCCATTGCATGTGGCTTGGGTTAAGGTGACCTTCCTGCCTGGGTATTACTTCTGCAACTGTAATTGGACAACTGCCCTGTCCTTGGGACAAAGAAGTCTCAGCTCTTCCCTGTGTCCCTCCTCTTGAGTCATTCGACTCTGCTTCTCAGCCTATTTGCTAATTCGCTTACTTTTCTTAATAAAAAATTCAGCCCAGTGCCCATAATTCAAAATTTCAAATAGCATCACAAATTGTAAAGAAAAGAGAACAATCTCCCGGCCCATTCTTCTCCTTGAATCCTCTCCCCAGACTCTTTCTTCTGGTGCTTTTCTCCATATTTCTAATAATACCCTTCTTCTTGATTTGTTAATTTGAAATGCCTATTGACTTCTTATGATGGAAGACGGAGCTCAGTGCTCCTAACCCACTTTCACGTTCAGATCTCCTCTTCCTCCATTCTTCTAATACATTTATATCACATTTTTGTTAAATCAATATTCAATTTTTACTTTATTACAATTATGTATGTATTGTTCACTGCCGAGTGAAAAAATAGACTTGGATTACATTTTCTTCTATAACTCTTTGTTCTTCTAGGAGTTAATAATTACCTCATTTTTTTGGGGTCTGTGTAGTCTGTCATTATCCTAATAATTCTTCTAAAACGTCTCCAGTAGAATGTAAAACCCCTCTGGGCATTATCTTTTCCGTGAATAAGCAAGCTGATAAACTGCTGGTCCCGTGTGCCCCACAGCCCACCCTTGCTCCTGAGGGACCATATGCTCTCCTGCTTGGCTGTGCAGCTCTGCAGTTTGAACTTTCCTGCTACCCTCTAGCACTAGCTCTCCTGTTTCCCAGATTCCAGCTCTTCCTCCCTCTTGTTTTATCCCCTGGGAGTATACATGCTGTTTTCCTAGTCAGGCACATTCTATACAAAAACAAACTCCAGGAGGCTGGACATGCTTGCCTCATAATGTGCCTGGTAACCAGACCCTAAGCTTTCAACTCACTATGTAGACCAGATTGGTCTCAAACTTGCGGCGATCTTCCTGCCTCAGCCTCTATGCTTGCCTCATAATGTGCCTGGTAACCAGACCCTAAGCTTTCAACTCACTATGTAGACCAGACTGGTCTCAAACTTGGCGGCGATCTTCCTGCCTCAGCCTTCCAAATGCTGGGATTACAGGCATATACCACCATGCCTGGCTCTAGCCAGGTATCTTAAAAAGAATTTCTTTGCTCTGAAGGATGGGAGAGATAGATTTATTGGATGGACACAGATCTACTCTGGAGAAATTCATTGAAGGTAACCTGGGGTCAAGGCCACTGCTGGCCATTTTCACATTAATAGAGATTGGAAGGTAGCCTTTTCCTGAAGATACTTTATTTTTGCACAGTGGGAAATTGTTGCAAATACTATTTTTGTTAAAATAATTCACTTTACTGCTATATTGGCAGTAGATCAACATGGACGTGGATGACATCTGCCAGACAAACTCTCAGCAGGATATAATTAGCAATGTATTAAACCTTTGGACTCTGAAATCAGTTAAGATCTGTATAGCCTCAGATTTCTAAGGCACGCATCCCAGAGTATCATTAGCATTTTAAAGTACAAATTTGACATTTTAACACAAGTATTAACTCTGATGTGTCAATGAGGGCACATTCTTTGTTCAAAAGAAATAGATATTATGGTTGGAGAGGCACCCACCCACCTGTATCCTAAGCTACTAATTCAAAGAAGAGCAGATGGCTTGAAGATGAGACAGAAATAGAGGGAACCGAGAATCCTCACAGTAGTAGTAGAACCCAAGTTGCCAGTGAATCTAAGGGTGAAGGGAAGCCTTCTTGTACGTAGTTTGTAGAAAATGACCCAGAAGAGGAGTCTGATGATGAGGTTCCACTATCCCCCAACTCTGGGGAGCAGCTCTCTTGGCAAATATGGAAGAACCTTTGCTTATTCCAGTGATACGCTTTTTTCATGGAGGACCAAAATGAGTGGGGAGAGGGAATTGTTTTCTGGATCGAGGGCTGGCCAATACTCTAAGTTTCCTTGCTGACCTGGGAGGGAGAGGAATCCTGGAGGAATGTAAGTTTGACTTTGAAGTAGCAAAGGAAGGGAACGTGGGGCAGAGTTGAAATGTGATCTGGACATAGGAAAGCAGATTTCAAAACCATGAGGAACAAGTAGGTCATCGAATAATAGCTTTCATAAGAGAATACAGATCAGGATAATTTAGAGATAATATCAACGTCATGTACCTCTAAGGGGAAGTAAAGAGAAGTCAGTGAAACTGACAAGAAATTTGGGTGTCTGATAATATTTACAAATGTAGGGATGAGAACAAAACAGAAGGAGCTGTAACACTGAAAGGGCAGTTTCAGTCATTTGGGAAATGGTGACTGAATGATTTCTCTACACCAGGTACTTTGCCTTATGCTAAGGGGATAGCAACAGCTAAGACATACCTAAGCTTACAGTTTAGCAATAAATACAGATATCAAGCAAGTAATTAAAAGTGTGTTAACTCAACGAGCTACAAATAGAAGGGAACTTCCTCATCTGACAAATGACAACTACACAAACCCTGACAAATGGTATCTATTAAAACCCCTAAGTTAACATCACATTTAATGGTGAAAGGCTGGGTGTTTTCTACCAGGATCAGGAATGTAAGGATGCCTGCTCTCTCCATTTCTATTCAGTATCATATCAGAAGTTCTAAGTAGGATGATTAAGCAGAGAAAGAAATAAATGGCATACAAATTAGAAAGGAGAAGACAAAACTTCTCCATTTTCAGATGACATGATTTTGTGTGTGTAAAATCCCAAGGAACCCCTGAGAAGATGACTAGTGCTAATACACAAATTTGGTAAGGTTGCAGGGTATAGGATCCATGTTCAAGCATCGAATTTATTTCTGTATACTAGCAATGAACAATCTGAAAATGAAATTAAGGAAATAATTGTACTCACAAGAGTCTCTACAATAACGTAATGCCCGGGAATAAATTTAACAAAGAAAATGTAGGACTTCTACACTGAAAGTAAGAGAACATTTTAAAGAGAAATAAAAGGGGAGGAGGGGGTGAAGGGAGGGCAGGGACAAGGGGAGAAAGGAGAACCAAGACCTGTGAAGGTACAGGATCCCGATGATGGAGGTAAGTGTGCCGTATACCTAGAATGTACCAATAAACTCAGTACAAAAAAGAAGACATTAAGAAGTGGAGTGACAACTCATATTCATGCATCAAAATGTTTATATTGCAAAGATAATAGTTCTTCCCCATTAATCTGAAGATTTAATGTCCTCCCTCATCAAAATCCCAGCTGTCCCCTTCTATTTTCCCCATACATTGACAAGCAGATTCTAAAATTCATGTGTAAATGCACATTGCTTGCCCCTTCCTTCCCCCTGCCTGCATAAATCAACAAATTGATCCTAAAATGTGTGCGTAAATTCAAGGAACTCACAATAGCCAAAATAATCTTGAAAAATATCGTTGAAAGACTCACATTTCCTAATTTCAAACTTTACTACAGACCCATAATAATTAACACAGTGCGGTACCAGCCTAAGGATAGACATATAAATGAATGGAATAGCACTGAAAATCTAGATATAAATTCTCATATCATGATAAATTGACTTTCATAAAGAATGCTAGGACAATATAATGGAATAAGGAATGATTTGTTTCAACAAGTGGTGGTGGGCAAACTGGATATCCATATGCAAAAGAATGAAACTAGACTCTGACTTCAAACAGATGTTTAAAATTACCTCAAAAGAGCTAAAACTATAGAATTTTTAGAAGAAAAACAGAAGTAAATATTTGTGACCTTGGCTTGGGTAATAGTTCTTCAGCTACACCACCAAATGGGAAAGTGATAGAAGAAAAAGTCAGTAAGTTGGACTTCATTAAAATTAAAATTTCATGCTGCACATGATACCACCAAAAAACTGAAAAGATAACCTGCAGCATGGGAGGGAAATACTTAAAGTACATATATGGTAAGGAACTAGTGAATAGAATATAAAGATAACGATTCCAACTGAATAGCAACAGGGTGAACCACCCAATTTAAGATAGGCGAAGGCTTGGAATAAATTTTTCTCCACAAAAATGGTTACTGAATGATACACAAGTGGTCATTAGGCACTGAAAAGATGATCAGCATCATTTGTCATCACAGAAATGCAAATCCCAATCACAATGAAATATCACTTCAGAGCCTCCAGGGTGGTTGTGATACAGAGATGAACATGACGATAAAGTTTTGGTGAGGGTGTGGAGGAGCTGGAAGCTTCATTCACTGCTGGCGGGAACATTGTGCTCTGCAAGAACAGTTGTTAAAAAGTTACACGTAGAATTACCGTGTGATCTCACATTTCCATTCCTCCATCTACAACCAAGTGAAATGGAAACATCTATCCACCCCAAAACTTGTATGTGAATATCTACAGCAGGATTGTTAACATAGTCAAAAAGAAGGAACAACTTAAACATCTCCCAACCACTGAAGAGGTGAATAAAATATGGTATAGCGACAAAATATTATTCGGCACTGAAAAGGAATGACATACTAACACAACCCTGGGAAAGAACACGTTGACACATGGGTGGACTCTGAAAGCACATTGCAAAGTGAAAGAAATCAGTCGCAATGGACAACATAGTCCACGATTCCATTTACAAGCAATGCCCAGAAATGGGAAATCTATAGATTCATATGGTAGAGTAATAGTTTCCTAGAACTACACATGGGATGCATCTGTAACTGCTGAATGGGCATAGGATTTCTTTTTTGTACTGATGAAAAAGGTTCTGAAATTATATTGCGGTGATAGTTACTGTGATTACACTAAAAACCACTGACCCCTATAATTTAAATGGGTAAATGGTATCTATGATGGGTGATAAATATATCTCAATAAATCTCTAAAACATGGAAGGACTGGACAACAAAATAAATAGGGCACTGAGTGCTGTGATGGAGAAGAGTAGTGAGTCTGTCCATCATTTGGGGATCCACCTGAACCAAGACACGAAGGATCAAGAGTCTGGTGACTAATACTCCAAGCAGAGCATTCAATAAAGGAAAAGACCTGATCTGGGAGAAACATGGACAGTAGAAAGAAACAATGCATGCAGGTGTGGTGGGAGTTGAGGCAGGAATGAGGTGTGGTTAGATGGGTAGGAGGGGCCAGAGAATGCAGGCTCTTGGGGTCCATTTTAATGTTTCTAGACTTGTCCCGTACAGCACTGGGAAGTCATTGAAGGGTTAACTCAGGGAGAGCAGTAGATGCACCTACATTTTTAAACACTTACTCTGTTTGCAGGTAATTGATTTGAAGGATATGAATAGATGTAAAAAATTAGGTTGGGAATCAATATGAAAGTCAGGAAGAAAGATGATGCCCTAAGAAATCTAAATGGAAGGAGTTTGAAGGGAGAATGGCAGTGAGGATGCGGAGACAATGAGCTCTCCTACGAAGTCTGCTGCGACAGAGGGGCGGGGGAGACACAGCCACAGCCGGAAGGGAATATGAGACAGAAGAAATCTGAAAGACAGACGTGCTTGAATGGGAATTGGAAAGCTCCAAAGAGAGCCAGGCTTAGTATTCAGAAGACAGAGGAGCAAATTCACTCAATCAGGCCCTTGCAAAGGTGGACCATAATGAGATGCGGAACACCCTCAGAGGGACATGCCTAACAAATCAGGAGGAAGGGAGGAGGCGCATGCCGCTGAAGGTGGATTTGTATGCTTGGAGGAAGAAAGTCTTCCCTCTCCCTCCTCCAGTTCTGCAAAGAACTCACGGGGCAAGAGTGAATAGACAGCCTTTAAGATGTGATGTCAGAGGCTTCGATTAATGAGGAAGCCGAGGGGGCATGATTAGAGTTGATGACAGACATTAACGGAAGAGATTGAAGTCTACATAACCATACATCTTATACTTTATTCTTACGTTATCTTCAAAGTAGAAAGGGTAGACAAATTAGTTAAGAAAGAAATGGGACCCGAAATGGAGAAAAGATAATGAGGAAGAATTTAGTTACTTCAAAAGTTCAAATCTTTAGGCCGTGCGCCAAATTAGCTTAGAGATACAATTGAAGAATCATTCTTGATGTTACAAATGATGCAGATCGAAGCAGGCATGATACGGTTGGAAATGATCTATTTTTTAAAGGAGGGAAAGGGGAATTCAAGAAAATCTAGTAGAATCAAATGAACTACAGTCTTTGCAAGTTTGTTATCTGTGATCATTAGGAAGCAGCAAGGTTCGTGAGGAAGTCTTTATGCTAAAATAATTCTTTTTATGGAGACAGTATCTATCTTGTGATTTCAAGGTGCACAACTGGTAGATTAAATAAATACCATTTGCAAAAACAACAGAGTTTCGGAGGGCATTGGTCACAGGCCTGCTTATGTAGAGAATTGTATTTTTCAAAGGCACATTGGTATACAGAAAATGGTCAACAGGATGTCCCAGATAACGACACAGTAACTAAAACAATAGCTTTGGGTGAGACAGCAAAGGTATCCTCAAGTATTTCAAGGCCAGGCATGCCCAGTCCTTTTTTTTTTTTTTGGTACAGCAGTCCAGGAAGTAGAGCTAGAAGCAGGGGTGAAAAGTTCCAGGGAAGTATACTGCTGCCCTTAGGTAAAGAATGCATAACACCTGGAGATGTCCATCAACGAGGAACACTTGAGCTCCTCAGTCTTGGAAAATTCCAGAAACTCTACTGGGGCTTCTGCTACAACAAGGTGGGGTGTGGATTATGTGACTCTAAGGCAGGGATGGCGAACTTTTTAGAGATGAGGGTCCAAACTGCAACCCCGAGCCCCCTTATTTATTTCAAAGTGCCAACACTGTAATTAAATCTGAATACAGAGGTTTTAGTTTAGAGCAACTCATACACGAACATCTTTTATCTTAAAAGAGAAACAAATAACAGGTGTGTCATAGGTTTACCACCTACGGCACCTGAGGTCTGTTCCATGAAAAGACATTTAGAGGGAATGTGACACGGGTGCCCATTCTTCAGCACGCTCGTGCTAGATATAGAAGCACTGATGCCTGCACATGTCCCTGACCAGCCCAAAGCTGCAGAGTGAGGCCATGGTGGAGCAAAGGCCGAACCCATCCCCGCTCTCCCCAAGTGTGCCCTAGCTCTCTATTGTGCCACACCACTCTATTTCCACCACTTCTATTGCTTGGCCTGTGGCTAGTGGTTGCTTTTCCTTTTTGAAATTTCAATTAAGAATTCTAAATCCTTTGTTTATGACTTTTAGGCCACACTTTTTCATGAAAATCCCCTGGTCCACATGACCTGGATGCAATCTGTAGCACTGGCCTTGAAACTCGGGGGTCCCGAGTTGCTGAGCCTTGAGGTTTCTGTTATCTTTGAGGAGGTTTCCCAGGGGAGTTCGTGTATAGATTCTGGAGGAAAAGGGAAATACTCACAGGAAGAAGACAGAATTCCAAACCACCATATCCTACCTTGTCCGTGGGATTTGCTGTGCTGTTTGCCTCAGCTGTACATGACAAGGTTCATCCACTGAGAAATAAGCATCATGATTACACCCAATGCTTTAAGCTTCTTTACTTCATACAGGGACGTGCAAGTGCTACACTCCTCCCTTGAAAGATCTCAGTTCAGTCTCATCATCCCTTTTCAGCTAATTCTAACCCAAGTAGGAGGTCTAATCCCCTGTTACAACATATCTTCTGTTATTCCCTCAAAAGCCAGGCGGTGAGAAGTGTAACTGAGGTTGACCAGCTGGCCCATTGGAAGGCTCTAAAATTCAGGGGGAGCAAGTTTAATGTACAATGAGCTCAACAGGCTGTTCTTCAGTTCCTTCTTGGATTTATGACTTCCACATAATCCCCTGCTTTATTAAGCTATTGGAAAAAAATAAAATCTGTCTGCCAAGATCCTCAAGCAGCCTGGCAGCCAGCAATATATAAAGGCAATAATTGGAGGCAGGGGTGGGTGGGCAGTGGCTTGGCTGGCCTTTGAGGGACAGTTCAATATCCTCAGGGAGAAAAATGCACATTGGAGTGGATAAGGAAAGGAGGTCTCAAGGTTGTGTCTGGCCTTGGGGAGGGAAGGTGCCTCACCTCCATTTCTGTGAGGTAGAGTCCTTTTCCATCCTTGGAGAGATTATGGAATGTCTCTAGGATAAAGAAGGAAAGGTTTTGACTGAGAAGGAAATCAGAGCAGGTCAGATCCATGAGAGGACAGAAGCAGCTTTGGGGATGGTAAAGCAGCTCTCGGGGTCCACAGACTGGGTCCATCCCCACTTTTCCTCCTTTGGGTCAAGCTCTATACTGTGGGTCAGCTCTGGGCTCAAGTTCTTGAAATAGCCGTGACTTCCCTGTCCCCCCACTTCCGGATTCCTCTTCCCGTACACCCTTCCACTCTCAGTCAGGAAATGTGTGGGCTCATCTTACTCTCACGGGTGCAGTCTGAGGACCTGCCTAATGCCCCTAAGAATACCCTGGGGGCAAGGTTTGTGCTCAGGCTTGGCTCTGACCCTCCCAGGGCTCCCTTCACTCAATGTTTGTTCGTTTTCTCCCTCAGAACTGTGGGGTTTGCAGAGGGTCATGGCAGGGCTTGGGTGTCTCTGACCCCTACACCACCTTTCTCAATAGGTCCATTTTGAACTACTCTGTGGCCTGGGATTTCACTGAAAGCAGGTTATGTTGCTAAAAAGGGTCAAATGCTCTGGCCTCCATAGCTCAGGGAAAGACCTCTTGTCCCACCTGCTCATCCGTGTGTGTGTGTGTGTGTGTGTGTGTGTGTGTGTGTGTGTGTGTGTGTGTGGTTTCTTCTGCAGAGACCACACCCTTCCCTGCATGACTACGGAGCAGGTTTCAGTGATATACACACCCGGGAGAGGGGCAGGGTGATTTCAATTAACTTTGTCCCTAAGAGAACTAGACGGGGTGAAGAGGACACCGGAGACTGGGATGGGGGTGTTGGGATGGGCAGGGTATGAAAGGGAGGCTGGGGACGCCGTGCATCTCAGTGACCACACTGTTAGTGCACAGCCTCAGTTGGCACCGTGCTCTTACAGCAGGGGCGGCTCAGCCCGTCCACTCCCGAGGCCTGGCCTGGCCTGGGGCAACAGGGTCTTCCCCAGGGACACTTACTTGCCACGGCTTCCAGCCGCATCAGGAAGCAGACCAGGCTGGGGAAGTTGACCTGACCCATGCTGTCACTGTACCGAAGGGACATGAGATCCAGCAGCTCACTGCTGATGGAGATGCCTGTAAGGAAGTCTGGGCCACAGGGTGCACTGGTAAGGGGAGGAGGCAGGGTGGGGTAGGGGATGTGAGGGGTACCCCTCTGCCTTGCCAGACTTGGGGAATTTGCTCAGAGAACTCAGTGGTGTCCTGTCACCTCCTGTTCAGCCCAGTTTGGTGGCCAGTCCCCTTCATGTGGGACCTTTTCTATCTTCCCGTCTTTGGCTAGGCGCTAGTGACACAGTTCAGGAGGTTGGCCAGGCACCAGCTCCAGAGACAAAGACAATGAGTGTTTCTCGGAAGACACATCAGCCTTCCCAAGTGGATAATCCTGCACAGCATGTGGGCTGGCAGGGCTTGGGGTTTGGGTCTAGCCCTGGGTCTGCTGGGCCTCTCTCTGTGGGTGACTTTATAAAACCATCTTCCTCCCCCACCCCAGGACTCTCTGTGGGCCTGCACCGACGCTGCTAGGGTGAGCAGGTGTGGTTTCCTGGGAGAGATTTAGCTCTGTGTTGGTCTCCCAGGGAAAAGGCTGCTTTTCAAAGGGGAGACCAGGCTCAGAAGGGGGCCTCAGCTGGACAGTCACCTTGCCCTCTTTGTTTTATTGCCTCACAGTCTCGCTATAAGTTTCAGGGAGGCACCAGCCACAGAAGGACAAGTGCAGACTGGCCCACGGTTGGGCCTGCCAACTCTGGTGAGCAGCAAGATCTTGCAAGCTGAGCCCTACTTTAAGAGATGAGCTGGTGATCCGTCGGCCCCCAGCAGCCACTGACCCTTTCAATTGCAATCTCAGAATGCCTTCAGAGGGGCCATGTTGTGTCCACCTGCCACTTCCCAAATTGCTTACTCACTTATGCTTAAGTTGCCTGCCTGGGCCCTGAAGTCTGTTCAGTTGAATTTGAACTATTCTTTTTTTTTCTCTCTCTCTTTTTATTATTCTGAACTCTTTAGTGAGGGCTCCTGTAATGCTTTCTTTCTTTTTTTTTGAGACAGGGTCTTACTATGTAGTTGAGACAGACCTGGAACTCACTATGTAGCCCAGGCAGTTCTCAAAGTCACAGTGATCCTCCTGCCTCGGCCTCCCAAGTGCTGGGATGACAGGCGTGTGTCACCATGCTCAGTTATTTCTTTAATTGGCCTTCGGTGGTTCTCAGGCGTGTTCCAGACAGGGCAGGAGCACCACTTGGGTGCTTGTTGGGGAATGAAAGCTCTCCTGTATCCAGACCTCCTGTATAAACCAGAGGGAGGCTCAGCCTTCTGTGCTTTCACTAGCCCTGAGCAGGGGACTCTGCAGCTCTATGTTCTGAAGAATTAAGCGGGGGTGGAAATCTATGCTCAAATGGAGAGCAGAGTCCTGTAATTCTAGTCCTCTCCAGATCTGAGCCAGGGCAGAGAGAATTATGGAGTTAACATGGGAGAACACGATTTAACAGTTTATTGAGGAAAGTGGCCATTTCATTAACCTTTTTGTGATCCATTTTCCTCAGCGGTACAATGGAGGCAATGATTCCTGCCCTTCCAAGGTCTCAGGGTAGTAAAGATAATCACGTGAGATGACAGGGACAGGAGATCTTTGTGAGCTACGTGGCCCGTATACACCCGAAGGTATTATCATTAGCCCAGCAGAGCACTTCTGTCCACTTGAAGCAGGCAGATGCCATTTGATTTCATTTAGCCCCAAATCCTCCTCCATGAAGAGAGAAGAGCAACCGTCAGCCTGCCAGTGGGTATTTAACTCTGACAGCCCAGGTGCTGAGCTGGATGCTTCTGGAAGGTGAGCTCCATTCCTAGTAGGATATTAATCACAGGAGCTGTTTTCTCACAATTAGAGCTGTGCTGGGGAGAAAAGGCAGCTGAGAAAATTGACTGGCAAAGGAGAGCTCGGTCAGGGGCCAGATGTCTGAGTCTGCAGCCCCGGAGACTCGCCAAGGTCATGGCAGGCCAGGGGAGGATGTGGGAGCTGAGTTGTTCTCTCTCCTGTCTGCCCAGCCTTACAGCACCAGTGTCCTACAGCACACTGGGGGTGAGGGCACCCTCTCCCTGCATGCTGGCCCAGGATACCTAGTTCAAAAGGCCCCGGCCTTACCTGTGTTCTCTATGGCCTTGCTCAAGTCTGAGCTCAAGAGGACTCCAGAGCTTTTCTGGATGTTCTGGAAAACATGCTGACATGGAAAAAGGGGAAAAGAAGAAAGAAGCCACTGTGAAGGCCTGCAGGGTGTGGATGGGACAGAGTTGGAAGTCCTTTTGGACACCTGGAATGTGCCTCACTAAGGCCTCAGTGGACCCAGCTCAGCAGCAGTCTGTGGGGCAGGAGGGAGGGCTGAGGCAGGTAGGACTGGCTGCAGCTGGGGCCTGTGCCTTCCATTGACCCAATCGCTTTCCCTTCCTCTCCCCACCTCAGGTGTGCCACCCAGCACACGGAAGCATAGGGCTACCTGAAGAGTTTGCAAAGGGTAGTGGTCAAGAGCACAGACTCGGTGAGCAAATGTCTAGGGTGTAAGTCCCGGCCCAACTACTTATCAGCTGTGTAACTCATCTTGGGTGAGTTACTTCATCTCTCCTGGCAAATATCTATAAGGTGCTTAAGTGTGTACCTTGAACAGGAGTGAACACTGCAGAAGGTACTGAGAGCAACTCAGAACCTTGAAGTGGGTCCAAGGACAGTTCCAGAAGTAGTTACTTGCGTATCACTTGTGTGCACTGCTGCTCTGACACTCACGACTTTCCCACCTCTGCCTAATCCTCACTGTATTCTGCTCATCATCCTCCTCCTCCTCAGATGAGGAAACTGATGCTCAGGCAGGAGGAGATCTGGCCTAGGGTTCAGTGGGCAGCTGCTGCAAGGCTGAGTGCAGGACTCCCAGGTTCGGTCTTTGCATAGCTGCCCCCTAGGAGTTTTCCAAGACAACCCCCTCCCACCCCAGCAGGCAAGACCAGCAGTGGAAGACAATGATTGTGCAATAGCAGTGTAAGAGGTTTTCCTCGGCCTTATGAGGCTTTTGGTGAGCTAAAGACAGACTTCAAGTGTCCCCCATTGGGTACTCTCGTATTCATTTGGTAACTGGTTTGGTCAGGTAGTCAGTTTTTAATGCTGCTATATTATACAGACTGTGGAGCACACTGAAGACAAATGGATGTGAGGAGGTCCTGCCCCGGAGGACACTGCGATTTAAAAGGGGGTGAATGTGCCAACAATTTCAGTGCCTTGTGAGAAACCAAGTGACTGGGGTCCCCGACCTACATGACGTGTCCTGGCAGACATACACAGGAGCTCTTTCCTCAGCCTTTAAATATTCCACAGAGATATTTACTGACTTCCAATATGTTGCTGCTTTCTTTTTTTAAAAGCACACAATGCTTTTTAAATGCACTGTATGTGTACGTATTACAGGATAGATTATGAGAAATATTCGCCATGGGAGATGTTAATAGTTTTCCTTTGGTAAGATCGTGTTTACTTTTCAAGTTTACTTTTGCTCATCTGTATTAGAAGGCATTGCTTTCATAGAAACAAAAAGTTATTTTAAAGTACAAAATAAGAAGACAGCAAGAGTGTGGCTTGTGCTGTCAGATGTCAGATGTAGGGTCACGTATTAGGAATCAGAGGGGCACTGGTCCAGTCACAGGGTGCAGAGACAGAGAAGGAAAAGCAGGCTGAAGGCACAAGGACACAGCATTTATAGGGAGCAGTCAGGTGTCTTATAGTTGAGGAAGGTGGATGAGTAACAAGTGCTTCTCCCTGACTCAAAAAAAGGGGCCCAAATCATAAGGTCTCGTGCGCTGCTCTGATGAGTTTAGACTTTGTTCTGAGGACAATGAGGAGGCCACACCCAGGCCGCAGACCAACTGTGTCCATGTTTTTGGCAGATGCTCTGGCAGAGGCCCTGGACGAGTACAGGGTGGCCTCACAGACTTGAGTCTGGGGAGAAGCGAGGAGCACCCTGCCGGCCGACAGTTCTAGCTGTGGTGACCTCTCTCTCTCTCTCCCCCAGCCTCCCAGGTCCTTGGCCTTCTCCTGTGTGAGCCTATCTCCCAGACAATATGACCTCTGGGAGCTGGGCGAGGTTTCCTCCCTTTCCACAGCCCTCGACCCTGGTGCAGGGTTGAACATCTTGTAAATATTCGCTCAACTGGATGAAATTAGGAGGTTAGACACAGAGAGCATGCCCCTACCTGGCAGTGGACAAGACGCCTCCACAGTCTGGCAAACTCCTCCTGGTTGAGTCGCCCATTCACCTTCAGCTGGATGAGGAGTTAAGAGTTAACTAGTCTGGGGTACCCTGAGCGGGACCCACTGGTCTCACCAACAAAGCCAGGGCACCTCTGTGAACTGCAGAGCAGGTTGGGTGTCCCGTGGTGTCATACAGCTCACTCCCACGGTGTGAAGGGGACCTGATTTAGATTTGTTTTATAGAAGAAACAGACAAGGAGGGTAGAAGCCCCGAGAGAGGGAGGCTCAGCATGTTGCATCTAGAGGACAGGGTGACTCTGACCTGGCCTACACGACTGGGTGGGACACCGGCCCGGAGGATGGGAATGAGTACGGCGGGTCTCGCAAGTGTGGATGCAGCAGTGACGGGTGAATGTGCCACCCTGGTGCACACGTGTGCACGGAAAGCTTTCTGTGGATCAATGCCAGCCCCGGCCACCCCACGGGTTGGGGACGCTAGGGAGAGGAAGCGAACCGGCCTCTGAGACCTGCAAGGGAGCCATGGGGGAGCAGGGGCAAAGGGAGGCAGGGCCTCGTATGCTTTGTAGGGTTCTGCGTGGGTAACCTGCCTTGGGCTACCTGCCCTGGCTTGGAGATGTGAGGGCCATTTGGATTGCTCTGTGTCTGATTGCAAACCTCAGCTAGAGGAGACAGGGCCTGATTTACGATTTCATCAAGAAGCTCTCTTGTTCTACAATGGCCAACTTCGTATTCCCAATTGAGCCTTGTTAACAGTGTGGGAGCTGGGTGATCTGTCTCCCTCCGAGACAGCCACAGCTGGGGGAGGACCGGCCTGTGCGCCGCAGCCCTTCCTTCCTGTAGGGAGATGGTGCAGGCAGGAGGGAAACTGCTTCAGGGAGAGTGGGAGTAGGGTGGGAGTCAGGAGGCTGGGATTTAATTCTTGATTTTGCCACTGCCACGACCCAGTGTCCATGGCTGCAAACACAGCCTGTTAGCAGCAATGGATCCAGCTGCTGTGTGGACCAACAAGGTTCCTGCATAGACATGCAGGTTGTCTCTACTGAAATGGGGCTCACTGAGTAAGGTCTTTAAGTAGCAAAGACTTCTCCAGTTTTAAGGGAAATGGGGAAGGGGAGTGGTACTCAAAGGAGGAGGTGTACAAGGTTAGAACACAGACTTGAAGGTGAAATTCCTTCTTCAAATCTTTGCACAAGTCCTGGCTAGTTGTGTGATCTGGGCAAATTACTGATCCTCCCGAAATCCCTATTCTTCCACTCTACAGAGGGGTACTGCTTATATCATGTGGATAGTTGCAAGAATTATAAGGAAAATCTGTACGTACATATTCACCAGGAAAATTTGTAAACGCTTGATTGATGATCACTTTTGCTACACTGCTGATTGATCTGAAGTTAGTGGAGAATGCACAGGACCCTGGGCCTCTGGTGACCCTGGGAAGGCCACAAAGTACACGGGCTCCCGCGGCTGGATAAAAGGGTGAACGCAAAGGATACATCCATCAGAGCCACTATACTGCGGCACTCATCCAAGGAGAAAGCGTCCCCCGGAGGTCCTGAGGACGGAGAACAGGAAGGGCTGAATGGTCAGTAGAGTGGCGAGGGGCCAGGGCAGATAAGGCTGGGGCCAGCAGGCTCTGGACTGTACCTGCCAGGAATTCCTGGTTCAGAAGGCTCTGAAGTTGGGTGGCATCAATGTCTAGCCCCTGAATCAAACAAGGACAGAATGTGGGCGTCAGATGGGGCCAGGGCCGGAGAGGCACACTGCCCACCTCCAGAATAGCTCTCTGACTTCCACCCATTTCCTGTCCACCAAGTGCCTGTGTCACCTTGGCCCTGAGCCTGACCTGGCTGTTCCAGGCCATGCAACGACTCCCTCCCCATGCATCTGTAGTGTCCATCAGTCTGACATTTGTCACCAGCATGGGCCCTTGGCCCCTTCCTTCACCACTGGACTGAAAATAGCTGCTTCCTCTCCACCATGCCTGGCACCAGGGACCCCTCAGGTCAGTACTGCTGGGTGAATCAATGCACCTCTGTAGGTAAGTTTCCATCTATTTCCAGAAAGAGACTAAGGAAAAATATGACTGATTGTACGTGCCTGTGTGTGCACACATGTGTGATAATAGGAGTTAAAAATATCCCAAATCTAGGCTAAGGGAAGCTGCTACAATTGAACACATTGCTTGGTATTAATCTTTCCAGCCACTGAAGCAAAAAGGGAGATGGTGTGGCTTTCCTTGGTTTAAAAGTAGGGAGCAGTTGAGGTTGAAGGGAACGAGGTCTGTACTCTGGAGAAGTTAACCTCATTAGAGTTTTCCTGGGGCACTGAACAGGACAGCATGATGGGCAGCGTCTTTGGTGACAGTTTTACTGAGAAGCAGGGCTGTCCTCCTCGGGGGAAGTGTTTTCTTGGAGAACTGGCTCTGGAGTGAGGTTTCTCAGCCGGTGACTTCGTAGAGTGACACTGGGTCAAGTGGAAGATGGTATTTCTCGTGGATCTTCTGAGAACCAGCATCTCACAGAGGGCAGATGCACTGACCCTCCCATTTCCCCGGCTTGGCCTTGCCACCCACACTGGGAGCCAATGCAGCCCCTCAGCCTGTCCTGATGGGTCCTTCAGCCAGGAGCACAGGTCCTCACGTTGCCCCAATACAACATGCTGCCAATATCTGAAGTTGTTCCTCGGGTTACCCTTCCAACATCTCACAGTTTGTGTGTCAGGAAAGCTGGCCCGCATGTTCACAATCACCTGAGTGTCTCTGCAAAGGAATCCTCATGTTGGACAGCAGCTGACACACTAATGAGGAATTCCAACTTACCTGGAATCTCCCACGAGGCTACAATAGCATGGGCCATGGAACAGGCCTGCGGCCCTGTCCACATTCCCCGCTGACCTGGAGCCGTGCTCTGTACGTAATATGGAACAGGCCTGCGGCCCTGTCCACATTCCCCGCTGACCTGGAGCCGTGCTCTGTATGTAACCAACCAAAAGTGTTTGAGAAGATGAAGGCAGGAAAGATGATGACTGCTTAAACAAATTCCCAGAGAATTGCATGCTTGTCTCTGCTACTGTGGTGTGGGAGTAGAGGAAAAGCCAATCGGTGGGCACTTTGGTATTCCCAAAGCTTAGCCATTCATGGAATGGGGTAGGTGCTTGGGAAATGGATCAACTGAATAGACGACAGGGAGTGGGTGGGTTTGATCCAGCCCAGAGTTCAAGTGTGTCCTTCCTTTCCCAAAGGCAGACCTTGCAATAGTACTATCACTACCACCAAGGCTAATGACAGTAAACAGTGGTAGGAACAAGCGTTAATTTACAGCTAAACTGACGTAACAGATTGGGAGAGAGGACACAGTGAGTGCGTGGGGTCATGTTTAAGTTTCTTTGGAAGACACAGTCTCTGAGGATAGACTGCAGATGACAGAGAGTGAATGACCCCAGCTGGGCCCTGCTCAAGGGTGCCCCGTCTGGTGGCGACCTTGGAATGATGCTGCGTCAGTGCCTTATTCTAATTCCCACCAAGGCCCAACATGAGCCTCCTCTGCGAGGAGGTATTTGGCTGATGTTTGGGAACCTTGGTCATGAGTCTGTACCTTCTTATCACTGGACAAATTTTTAGTTTAGAAGTACGAATGCACGGACCCTGAAGAAGCTCGGTCTACGGTACCCTAGTCAGGCCGTACTGGGGGAAAAGAACACACACAACGTCCCGTCTTCCCAACGGAACTCGCAAACTGGGAAAAACAGTCATCTTGGCCAAGTGCCCTCAGTTAGCCTGGGGGTAGGCTGACTCCTCAGCCAGTGCCCACTCCAGAGAGGAACTGCCCTCAGGACAGCCACATTCTGCATTTCTTCTTTTTTTTCTCTCTGAAACCAGCATGCCTCCAGGACACTGCCACCCCATTAGTCCTCTGAATACAGAGGCAGGGCCTGGCATCCTTCCTGTCCTTGGCCTCTGCCTGGCCCAGGCTGGTGCGGTACATACGATCATCTGGATCACTTTCTGCTTTCCTCACCAAAGCGATTATTAATGGTAAAAGGCCTGCCACGTAGAGCCCTTGGCAGCTATTTCATCCTGACAAGTCAAGGAGTTCTTTATAACAGTTTATTAAACCATTAGGAACATCCCGAATGCGCATAGGTGGCTTGGCAGGAAGCGAGCTGTTGTGCTTTCTGAAGTTGGCCGCCTCTTGGAAGGAACGATGCCAGCCTGGGGGTGGGTGGCACAGCTGGAGAGGGAAAGATTTCAAAGGATACTGCCAATTGCTAGTTTAAAGATGTTAAAGGCAACCTACCCCCTGCACACTCCCTGTAATTATCTTCTCCCTTCCTATGCTCTTTGTTCCACTGGGATGCCACCCAGCAGGGGTGGCACTTCTCTTGGCAGCCAGGGACATTCTGGAGATGGGCCAGGGAGAGGGAGAAACTGGTCAAATGACCCACCAATTGGCTTTTCCTCTGCATCCTGACGAGGATCTGGAGAGCTCTCCTTCCCTGAAGTCCCTCCATCTCCTGCCCCACGGAGCCCCTCAGTGCTTGGTACTGTACCTGCGGTGCATATCTGTAGAAAATGCTTTGTTCAGAGCTGTTTCCTGAAAGGCTTTCCTGGATCAAAGGGAAAATAGCCAACATTAAACTTCTGGGGAGAAACCTCCCTATCTAGTACAGCAAGGGCCCCATGACTCCCATCTAAATCAGAGACAAAGGCAGTTGGAAACCAAAGTTTGCGGCAAAATGGTGGTTGGGTCCAGCCTGACCTTGGAGACCTGAGGTTCTCTTTCCCACCCTGTTCCCACCTGCTCTGAGCCCGTTCCAGTCTGGCCTTTGCCACTGATCAGTGGTGAGGCTGGGCGAAGCTGCTGGGGATGGGATGTGGTGAAGGAAGCTTGCCAAACCCAAACCCTCTTCCACACCTACCAACCACACCTTCCTGCACACCTACCTTCAGGGCTCTGAGGTTGAAACTGCTGCCTGGGTTCCTAGAAAACCGGGGGGACAGTGTGTCAAAGATGACCTTACTATGGAGAAGAGGCTGTGGGTGGGAGCACCCAGGAGGCACCTGACATTTCTGACAAGGATGAGAGTGGAGAGCCCTCAGCACCAGAGGACACGAAGTGGGCAGTCAGCAGACAGACAAGCCTTCTGGGGGCGGTGTGGTCAGATCTCCTAACCATGTAGTAAACAGCCTCTCTTATAATGAGATATACAATGTACAGCGACTCCCACTGACAGGCTAAGGATGGCTATTGCTTTCTATTCCATCTTGAGTTGGTGGCCATGGCTACCTAGCCTGCTAGACTCAACAGGCCTCCCTCACACTTGCTGGAAAGTTCACTTGCAGTGTCTGTCTCAGGGCCAGAGGGGACAAGATGCCCCATGAGGTGGGTACTTGTGGATCTAAGGATTGACCCAAGGACAAGGCATTCAACACCCACCAGAATTGGACACACTTACTATATCTTTTGGGCTCACTTGTCACAGTCCCCCAACCCATCCCACATTGTAGCCACATTTTGGACAAGTTGGCATGCATGTCGTAGGCCACCAGTCTGTGCCTGTGGCCCGGGTCACTTGCAACTCAACAAGGCTTGTGCTGACCCACCTCCCTGTTTTGCAAAAGCCTTTTTTCTTTCAATTGCATGGATTTTCTCTTTATGCCATTAATTTCTTTTTGCTTTTAAGGACTAACTCAAGCACCATTTCTTTCAAGAAGACTTCCTCAGTCCATCCCGCAAGAAATGGATCCCTCTACTCTTCCCCGTATGCAGCTTTGTATCTGGCAATGGCCCATCCTGTTTTGGTTCAGTTACTGGTTCAGAGCCTTTTTTGTCCCCTTGTATAGAGAGTTCTCAAGATCACAGTTCATATCATGCCCACTGACGCAGTACATGCTACCTATAATTTGCACAGAACACCGTATACAATGATACCATGCTTTTTATAAAATTAAGTAGACTAAAAGAGGTGGCATCTCAGAGATTCTGTACCTGTCATTGTCTGGCATTTTCAGGAAGATTCGGAGCAAGAACTTAGCTTCTTCTCTACGTGTCGAGGGGACCACAACATAGGTCCCAGAGTTGAGATGGAAAGATTTCGTGAAATTACACTTGGTTTCATAATCTTTGCCCTGGGCAGCATTTCTAAATGGAGAAAAAAATGTGGGCGGCAGTCTCTCCTGGAATTGCTGGAACTAGAAGAAACATGATTATTGTGGGAAAGCCCCATCTCTGTGGTCCCAGCCACCAGCAGAGACCCACCACCTTCCAGACCCAGCATTACACCAGAATGGCATGGCAGGCCCTGGGAAGGGACAGTGCTTTCCTGAACTCTTGCAAAACCAGTAGAATTAGACTGTTAATTCATCTAGACCATAGACCCTACAGTGAACACAAAGAAATAGGAGAAGCGATTCTATTTCATTAAAATCTAATAGCATCCTGGTGCTCTCTCTGCCCCTTCTCCCTCTATCTGCTTCTATGTTAAGATCTCCATGGGAACTAGTGACACTGTTCCAACACTGACTTTGGTTCGGGTTCCCTAATGCCCCTTCTACACCTGCAGTGAAATCCTCTGGGCTGCCATAGCACTGCTGTGCTGAATTCATTCCACTTCCTCTGTTTCATCTTTCCAACAAAGCCCTGAGATTCTTTCTTAGTGGAAAATAATAGCCCCTGATTATTTTCCTTTTATTTCAATATATTCTTAGCCATAAAACAATAAATATAATGTAGTTTCTATTACGAGATGTCACATATATATTACATAATAAAAACCCCTTACTAAACAAATTTCCCCCCACCACGATTGAGCATGGGGACTCCATTTAGAATGGTTACACAGCATGAAATGATTATTTATGAGCTCTGCTTTAGAGGAAAAACAGGGGAAAGGGCAATATTTTTTCTAGCGCATAGGGACAGGGCTCGGCTCCCAGGTGAGTCAGGAGATAGGTCACTGCCCAGGTGTACAGCAGAGCACTGGGTGGAACCTTTACAGCTGTTCTACTGATGAGAACAGCAGCCCCATGGGTTTGGGAGCTGGATGTGTTGGAGCCCTTCTGGCAGAAGCCGTCATGGAACCAGGTTCCTCTCCAGAGGCTCAGCTGTGTCCTGTGGCTGTAGCTATGACTCTGCATGCCACAGTGTGTGGGCAGTGTCTAGGAATTGAGAACAGCCTTGTTTCCCTGCTCTCCTCCCTCCAGGAGACCCTCACAGTCCTGTCCCGGTTCCTGATCCTTCAGAACAGGCTTGCTCAGTGGCAGAAGTGAGCGTGCGTGCGTGTGTGTGTGTGTGTGTGTGTGTGTGTGGCGGGGGTGATTAAATATCTTGGTCCAGCTACTCTTCCCTCTAACTCCCTAGGGCACAGAGGTCTCTCTGGGGGTAGGGATGGGCCTGGACTCCCATTTGAGAGCGCACGGCCATGGGAGGTGAGTGTCCGTGAGGACTGGTTTTCTGAATTCCACCTGTCTTTCTCTATTCCTCTCACAGAGTTAAGTTTCAGCAATCCTGCATCAGGTCATCTGTTCAGGAGCAGTGGTGATTTGGCCGTCAGAGGATACAGAGGAGGTGCCTTAAAGCTCAGTGTAGACTCAAGGGCTAACTAATTTCAGAAGTGGAAGGACCTTTTAGGTGCCCTTTAGTGCTGCTCCGGTCTTATATACACAGGAACAGCTCCATCGCTCTTCTCTGGCAGGGGCCAGATGCTTGAGGACTGCAGCCCCTCTCGAATGTTAAACAGAGGAGCCCCTAAGAGATGTAACCTTTAGACCAGACCACACTAAGCCTGACTTTGCAGCTTGGAGAATATGGAGGCCATGGCGTTGGTGTTGGAAGAGCCTGGACATTTTACCAGGAGGCAGCACCAGAGGCAGAAGAAGGTGTTGAGCCATACCTGGGAATCCACCTGTGGGGCAGAAGAAGAAAGTTGGGTTAAGACCACAACTCTGTTGGACCACAACAGAGAGTCAAGCAGGGGCTCCCACCCTGGCCTGGGACCTTGTGCTCCTTGCTCTTGCCTGGCTACCCCCATTTCCAGGCACGGAGTGAGGGGAAGGGATAGGTGCTCGCATTCCCAGCGCAGAGTTGTATACAAGGAGCCCTACTACCTTACTGGGTTGCACAAGAGGAAGGAACTCACGGAGGAAAGCAGGTGTGTGAGAGGAGAGGTGGCCCCTTGGTCCCTCAGCAAGGTGTGGTTCCTGTGCATAGCAATGAGGATAACATTGAAAGAGAAGGAGAGACATGGCCAGGGCTGGAGATAAGACCGAACTCGGGCCAGTGTACATTTCCCATGTTGGAGCTGGGTGTGGTGGTGCACGCCTGTGATCCCAGCTCTCGGGAGGCTGAGGCAGGAGGATCACTGTGAGTTCAAGAACAGCCCGGGCTACACAGTGAGTTCCAGGTCAGTCTCAACTACATAGTGAGACCCTGTCTCAAAAAACAAAAGAACAAACAAATAAATTTCCCATGTCGGGACCTTCAACAGTTCCCTCAGACTGTTAACTATGCTGGGGACTTGTTCTCAACTCTCTGGCACTTGCAGGGACATACGCGTGCAGGTGAACAAGGAAATAGCTATGTTCCACTCTTTCTACCTGGTGGAAAGAAGCACAGAGGACACAGTTTCATCTTTAAACCCCTCTACCATTTGCAAAGCACTTGTATGTACAGCACTTCACGCTTTCTGCCAGTGGACATCCCGCTTTGTAAGTGTGGAAACGGAGGCTCAGCAGTTTATGTAGCAGAGTGGGGAACAGGGCAACACCGCCACCAGGCTCGGCCTTCCCTGGCAGATGTGGCATTTAATTCTTCTCTATTGGGCCCACCATATGAACAGACTCCATGAACTGCCCCGACCTCTCCCCGCCTGTTCCTACCCAACCAGGATGTGGCTTGCAGTAAGGCAGAGCAATGTCCCCACCGCACTAGGGCTGGGGCCCCATTTCAGCTGTGCGAACACGGTACACTGAGCCCAGGGACTCACAAGAGCCAGCCTGGCTGCTGGCACAGACTGAGCCTGTTTCTCTGCTGAATGGCAAAAGGAGCCCACGTGACTTTTGAGTTGTCAAAGTCTAGATTTCTGGGATCTCTGGGAAGCCCAAGGAGACCTTGGGTCTAAGCACTCCTGTGGTAAACGGGCAGCTGAGGAATCCCGCATCCCTAGCGAAAAGGAGGGAAGTGGGCTCAGTAGTAACTTTTAAATGGGCACCGTTGCCACAGCTTCTGAACTGTGAAGACTCAGGGAAATCAGTGAACTCAGACCACTGTGTTGCAGCTCAGGGACCCCAGGCTAAAGGACAATGATGTGAATTTTCCCCAGAAGCCATGCACTGGGGGGTGGGGGGGCAGACTGTCGCAGGGTTTCTCCCTCTCACCTCATGAAAAGGAAGAGGGGGCTGAGATATGTTTAGTAGAGGTGTCTGGGGCTTGGCCTATTCATTTTTGGGGTGGGGCATATTAGGTGGTCTCAGTACAACTCTTGGATTTATACTTGTTGATATTTTTTTAAAAATGTAAATGACCCTCCAGTGATTCTCAAATACACATAAGCAGCCCCTAGGGAGTTTGTTAAAATGCAGACTTTTAGGTTCTGTCCTTAAAGATTCTGATTCAGGCAGGGCCAAGAACCCGAATGGTTACAACAGCTGGTCTTGGACCAGGCTCCTTTTCAAGGTATAGGCATTAAATTCTGCAGCAGACCCAGAGAAGCTGACAAGGGACAGAGGCAGGAGGTGTGCCTCGTTGTCAGCGTGGTCAAGTCTAATCTCTCCAGTTTTAGGTTTTCTTGCAAACTTAGAACACCGCAGACCCTCTGGGCTTTATCCCCAAGCTCTGGTACACTCACATCTCCCTGCCGGTTGGGCTGTTCTCCCCAGCCCAAGGTATGCAGGAGTGTTCCTAAAAGATGAGCCAGGGTGGGCAGGCTTACCTTAAACACCTGGAAGCTCAAGGGAAATCCCTCCTCTTCTGCCTTCAAGCCTTGTGGCATGACAGTGAAGGACACAACAACATCGCTGCCTCCCTGGGACTCTCGCACATTGAAGAGGTATTGCGTGTTCCTCCTGGGTTCTCCTATGTGAGAAAAGGCCATTACTGCCGCTATTTCCTGTTGGGAAGTGTCTAGTTTGGAGAGCCCCATTGGGCTAGGTCACTGCCTCTGGATTTGGAAACCTAAGGCCTGGGTACCTGTCTCGCAATTACTAGACGGGGTACTTTAGAGTTTCTTTAGTTTAGTCTCTCCTTCTTGAAAAACAGGAAGAAGGAGTTTAGCCCCTAGTTGCTGAAAATGTCTCTTAATCTGCGTCTTAGCTATTTTCCTACAGCTAGTATGCAATATCTGACAACCGCAACTTAAAGGAGAAGAGGTTTATCTTGGCTCACAGTTTCAGTCCACGGTTGGCTGGCTCCAAGGCAGAAACAAGACAGCAGAGAGGCACAACAAAGGAAAAGGTGCTCAATCCATGGCAGCCAGAAAGCAGAGAGAAGGAAGGAGCTGGGAACAGGAACGCACTTTCCCAGGTCCCGCCCCCAGTGACCCACCTCCAATCAGGCTCCATCTCCCAGTAGTACATTGAGCTACTGAAGTCATCAGTGGATGACTCCACTGATGAGTATAATGCCGCAGATCCAATCACATCCAACACATGGGACTTCTGGGGCCATTTTAGATCTAAACCATGACAATCTATAAAGTCAAGGCCTATTTTAATAGTGAATAGAGTACCAGGGCCCCCAGATATACGTGACTAATTCCCTAGTGGTAACCACCAGAGACTTGAATGACATCAGCTGCCCAAGTCCAGCGAGACAAAGGCAGAGAGACAGTCATCTGCAATGCTCCTCTACCGCCAGCCTGCCGATCAAAGCCAGAGCAAGGGACAAAGGACGCATGTGGGAACTGTTAGATTCACATGCACAGAAGAATAAGTCAGGAATAATAAATGGTTACATACCAGAAGGCTTGGATCACAATTGGGAAGCCATGAAAAGGGGCTGGGGAGACGGAGGACTGCCACGGTCATGGGCTTTTCTATGAGGGTTGGATAAGACCATGCATTAAAATGCACTTAGCAGCATAGAGCAGGTGCTCAATTGCTGGCTCCCATTCCGCTCTTCCTCGTAAGGTATTACTAAAAATGGCCCCAATGTATGATTTTGGCTAGTTCATTGATATGCGTTATACCCAGCCTACATAGTCCGACAGGCCCAGCTGAGGAGATCCATCAGTAAGAGTGATTTGACGGTGCCTCGGACTCTGCTTGTGGCTTCCCGGTGGCCAGGCTCTCTGAGTAGCAGAGTGATCATGAGAGTCTGGGGATGGGACAGAGGGACACCTTGGGGTCCAGGAATCATTCAACCAACTGTGCCTGACAGGCAGGTGCTCGGGAGAAGGAATGCATATGTCTAGGTGCAAATGTGCATATATCTGCAATGGCACACACAGATATGTTTTTACAGCCTCTTTTATCAAGGACGCATTAGCACACTGAGGTTCCACTCCACAGGGAGCAGTTTCACTCATCAATGCCACAAGCAGCACGCAGGAGGAACATCAAAGGAAGGTGACTCTCTGGAGGGTGCAGTCAACAAGATTAATTTCAAGGAGCTCTCTGACCAGCTCCAAAGTGCCTAAGCCGCTGCCTCCCAACAGCACAGGGCAGGATGTTCTCCCGGGGGCCTGGCTGGCACTTGGTGGACTCCAGGGGCCAGAGAGGGATTTATTAAGACCACAACAAGGAAGGATGAAGACAGAGAGACCAGCTGTACCCGAGTCACAAAGCTAGGGGGTGACAAGGAAATGTGTAACCTCGGCAGTGACCTTCGTCCAATGCTCCTTCCACAGCCTGGTTAGTTACTAAAGAGCAGGGAGGCTGACGACGGCTTCCTGATCTGGCAGAATGATGACCAGTGTTACACCTACCTGCACTGTTTCCTAGAATCACTTGGTTTTTAAATGTCATTTGGCACCACTTTTCATGGGGCCTGATTCCATGGTCCAAAGTGATCGGGATTTGGTTGCACATGAACAGGGAGGAAAAGTTTTCCTGGAAATCTTGACATGCCATCCTGTTGGAAACAGACACACAGACACTAGTCACGAAATGACCACTGACTGTGTCCCCAGGTGGGGGGTTCCCATCACTTCATGGTGTCTTTCCTGGGTCAGCTAACTTCTGCACTGACTGTACCTGCCCAGAGGTCAGAGCATAACTTTGGCTCCTTGGGCATCAAGCGACCTTCTGCTTTCTCGGTCCTTCTCCTTTCAGTGGTTGAAAGGACAATGGCAGAGTCAAATTCTGGGTGTTCAGTGTCACCTGGCAGGGGCTTTATCAGCAATTTCCTTGACCCGGTAATGTAACTGTGAGCCCTATCATGGCCAGTGGGACCACAGCCAGCCTCTCTCTTTTTCTGGGTCCTGATGCTGCCATGACACCGTCCCCTCTCTAAGGCCGTTTGCCAGGTCTACTGTTGAGATCTTTATAAAGATGAAGTTTATGGCACACCTTAAATCATACCTCCTGCTGTGATGAAAGTAGAGATATTGGGATTATTTTTCCTTTTAACTTAAGTTTGTTTTTTGGATTCTTAATACTTTAGACCCAGGATATTTTCCCCATATATTTTAATTTCATTTAAACATGACACTAAGTAAACCAGACAACTCTACAGAGAGATGTGCATCTCCTCCTCTAAGATGTGTGCATACAGATGAGCATTTGTTTTTTAAAACAACCAGTCATGCAGTCTTGCATGACTTCTGGGTAGAGAGAGTGATGCCTTCCCCAGGACTCCAGACTCAGGCTGGGAGCTGAGCTTCCAGCTGCTCCTTTTACAGATTCACTCCAGAGGAGAATTTAGGGCTAGAGTCCCACCAGGATGGCATGGAAGGCATGGGCTTAACAACCACATCCCCTGGTGTCCACAAAGCTGTTTTCTCTCCTTTGATGCTAGCATTCCCTTTTATCATTAAAATGTCTCAGACAATCCAAGACAACTCTCACACCCGGAAGCTGCCCAATTTTCCATCCAAAGTTAGTCTTGGTAGAGAAAACAGCCCCTCTCTAAAGAGTTCTCTGCAATGCTGATTTCCATCATCAGAAAAATTAGGAAAAGAGATAGGGATTGAGAACTTGGGCGATAAAGGTTTAAAACATAATTTTTTGAAAGGGCAAATACCAAAACTCGCCATCTTCCTTGTTGTGGTACAGTTGTCTTTTCCGTGGGTCTTGGGTTTCTTGCCATTCCTGGGACCTACACGTGGAGAAACAAATCAGGGGGTGGCATGTCTCAGAGAGTTTTAGTTCAACCACATGTGGCCTAGTGGGGGTCCTTTGTTTGGCCACTATTAATTACTGGGGACAAGTAGAGTATCATTTTACCTAGCGACAGGGCTCAAGTCATTAAATTCCTTCGCTTCAGCTATGCTGATGGCTTTCAAACATCTTTCGCCAGCTTGCTCCTCTTTCCTGAACTCAGGACAGATCTACAATCCATCCTGCATCTCCACTCAAGTTCCAAAGTGACCTGAAGTCACCTGTCTTGTGCCTTCTCCCATTGCCCACTGAGAACATGAGACATCTCTCTCTTCCTTCAGTCACCTCCACTCACGTCCCTACTTCTGCTATCCTACTTCAGGTCACCCTCTTTGCCCCCTTGGACCCCAGCTGCTTGTCCTAAACCTACTCATTTTCCCAGCCATTCTCTACACTGCCATCAACAGGGTCTCTCTGACATATAAGCTGGATAATGTTGTTTCCCTGCTTAAAATATGTCCATGGTTCCCTGCTACTCTCCAGAGGGAGTGAAGTTCGAACTCTTTAAAGAAAACCCCAGCCTCTGCCTACTTCTCCAGCCTGACCTGGGCACTCCCCTCACCCTCACCATTGAATTCCATGCTTCAGCCATCTTGAAGAACTTCACTTCCTTCAAGATCCCACATGCCACCTCTTGGCTTCCATTACGAGGTCCCTTCCTCTAGGACACTCGTATTCCTCTCAGTTCTTTAACTCACTAACTCTTACTCATCTCTCCTCCTAAAAGGCACTTCCTCTGGAAAGCTTTACTTGACCTCCTACCCCTACCTGTTCTACATCCAGAGCAGGATCCCTCCTTGGAGCACCCATAATGCCCTGGACACATCTGTCTCAGCACTCAGCACCCTCTGTAGCTGTTGCCTGTTTGTTGTGATCCCTCTCTGGACTCCAGTGCCAGCTGAGCTGAGGAGCACTGCTCTGTGTTACATCGTCATGGTGATCAACACATGTCTTGTCACACGTTTGGCACACGGTGACTTTCTGCTGGTTTCGTAGCTCAAGCTGTCCATTGCACTGGGATGGTGTGTTCCAGAAACTAGCCCTACAGTCCATGAGGAGGCCCCTCCCTCAGCCTGCTTTTGCAGTGCAGGCGCACTGTCGAGGCAATGGGCCCCAGAGGCACAAAAGTTTAATGAGATTTTTTCCCATGGAATAGCTCGAATTGAGAGCCTGGTCACCTCTGTGCTAGGACAGCGAGGCAGATACCACCATTCAGTCTTCCGGCTGCAGGCTGAGGCAGTCAGATGTGTTACTGTAAAATGGCAATTTTATAATTAAGTGATAATTACATTTTCTGCAGTGTGTAAGGGAAAATAAATGTAGTGTAAATCAATACGCTATTGATTCATGCAAGTTTGCCTTTAAGTGTGTGCGCCTGAAATTTCAATTACGGCTGAGATTAGACCCATCCAGCTTTCTCCATTCATCTCCATTCCTAAAAAGTAGGGAAGAAATCGACCACCTGCACGGAGACAGTGATTATGCAGTTCATGCCGCTTCCTTCCAGCCCGAGAAGGAGGTGGGTCAGAAGTGGGTGACCCTCTCCACTCAGCCAAGGGACATGATTCTATGGAGTATTTGTGGCCAGGTCTCTGCCCTGCTCCTCACTTTCCTATTCAGAAGGCTTTGTTCACATTGGCACCTGGATGGTAGAAATCTAAGCTTTGATGCTGGTATGAGGCCCTCCAGCCCCAGCCCACCACCCTCTCTTCTCAATTCCTCTGCCCAAGGCCAGCTGGGTGGCCCTGAACAGGATAGGGACCCTGACCTGGCTGGGGACCATGGCCTATGCTTCCCCTCCTACCCAGTGTCTCTTCTGAAGGGTGTCATACTCCCAACCCCAGAACATCAATCCCATCTGTGATGCTATCGCTGAACATGCCCACCCAGGGAACACTTGCTTCCCCTGGTCTCTGATGTCCCTTGCTGCCGTCATGGACCATTCTACATTTACCATAGGAAACACGGTATCAGCTCTTGTGAGTTCATTATCTCTTCCCCTGTGGAATCTGTCATACCTAATGGCTTCCCTCTGATTCTCCCTTGATGAACCAACCCAAAGTCTGGGATTCTGGCCAAAGTTACTAGGATTTACATTGGAAAAGGTAAAGGACACCCCTGGCGGGAAGAGAACAAGAGTCAAGAAAAAAGGAGGACAGTAAGATAGACATTGTCCATGCCTGATTGGCTCATGGTTTTGTCAGCTCTTTTCCTTTCCGGGGGGGGGACTCATCTGCCCTGTTCTCCAAGGGGCATCTGAGAGCACAGCCAGGTTTATTTTACAAATTGACACCTGCTATCTCCTTTCTTCCCTCTCTGCACCCACCAGCCGGCAGATACACTACCTGAGTGCCCACTTGTGCCAGGGACACACCAGCCCTGGAGATTGTGGGAAATCACAGTGGTCCGTCCACGACCGGGCAGGGGGCATCAGGCCATAGTCCAGTGATGTCGGCTCTGAGTATGGGCAGCTGCATTCACCTCCCCGAAAGCGCTGTGCTCACTGCATTGATTGCCACTGCCTGGTGGGCCCTGTGCTCCTGTTTGAACAAATTGCTTGTTCTTTCCCATCACTCTCTCCCCCAGCACTTCTGGCCGTAATGCTGTGGCCACTGCGTCATGACACCTTTCATGGATCCGCACAGATGCTCGGAGGAACGCGAGGGCCACCCTCCTAGGCCTCTGAGAGGAGTGTGACACCTCATTGTCCCCAGGACGTCTCAGAACCACCTTCCCATTCTCAGTCCGCAGAGGGTGGGGCGCCCGGGGTTAGATCCAGTACCGCCCAGGAAATGTCAGCACAGCTCCTTCAGGGAACCACAAACCACGCAGCCAGGTTCTGCCAGGACACGCTCCCTAGGGCATTGGAGAGCCACTTACTCCACTCACTCTTACCACGAGCCAGGTGTCACTGCAGGCACCTGGATACGTGGGTGTCCAGATCAGTACACAGGCCTGACAGTTTGAGCTGAGCAAAGAGATCATCTGGGTCTCTGCCTCAATTTCCCCAATTCTCCCAAAAACGAACCTTTTCCACCTTGGTCCCATGGCAATGGGGGCATTAGGATCCAGGAGATCCCCCCAGGGCCTTGGTTCTTGCTCTCCACCTCTCCCTCTTGCTCCTGGCCTGCCTCTGTCCTCTTTACCAATCCTGGATTTGACGGTCCACAGCTCTAGACCAGGCTCCCAGGGGACAGACACTAGGTCTTGTCACCAGTAGATCCCTCCGAACACCCACCTCACACTGTGTGCACGTCAGGTAGAACCTACAGGACAGACATTGGACAGATGCCAGCAGAAAGGTATCATGGGAGTGTGGGTAGACCCATGGCCACACCCAATAGAACAGGGTGGCAGTGAGGCCCTAGGCAGGTGGGACAGATGCTGCCTCAGGAACGCCTTTTGAGCAGTTCTCAGTGAAGTCTTTGCCCTGAGGCCCCCCAGCCATACCCATCTCTCCAGCGCCCACGCCACTCCGTTTCGCCCCAGGGGTTCCACAGGCGGATGATCTCTTCCCAGCCTGTCCTGGACTGAATCTGCAATGAAGATCGGAAAAGGAAACCGTCAGGGCTCTCTGGCTCAAGTCAGCAGCAAGAGGGAATATGAATGCCGCTGCTCTCTCCCTCCGAGGACTAATTTAACTTCTGACCTCATTTGGCTGCAGCCAGAAAAAAAAAAAAATTGAAAAGATTAAAAAAAAAAAA